TTCACCATCCTAAACATTCATCTAGATCTAACTGCAGTTGTTCACCCACTTGCATGAGCAACTGTACGTGCTCTTATAGAAGAGCAAAGGCCAGCGAGACTAGGCCACACACATTTTCTGCTCGTCTGCGCACTCCTCTCGAGATAGTCAGTACTTTGTGAGATTGCTTGGTTGAAACAGAAGAGCAGACAAACAGAGAACCAGATGCGGCCTAGCCCGGCTTATTTCACCAGCCAAATTTTCAATATCTCTTCTCGGAACTGTGAGAAAGTGGTCACTTTCCGCTCATTCTGCAATATTACGTAATTCCAAATGTAACTCTTACCGGCCATTGGTCTCCTACTTTGTAATGTTCTCCCTTGTGAATACAACCAACACTGCACATCTGTATTGTTCCATTATATTTCAAACGACATTCGTACCTGAAAATGAATAAACTGTTATTTTGGAGGTTTTTTCACCTTTACAGTAATCAGTACACTCTCTTCTATTCCCCACAAGCTGTTTGTACACCTCACTGATACAACTGATTTGCCTTTTTTATTTTGGAAGTGCAAGGAATGGCGCTATACTAGTTGGTGGGGATAGCACCATGCGCACCTCATTCGGACAACAGTCCAACCCCAGCTCTACTGCCGAGTTACCGTAACTCAAAATGGCGTCAAATAAATTGTGTGCGTTACCGATGCGTGCCGGCGCCAAGCAAATTCATCCCGCTCATCGCACTTGGCGGGAAGCTGTCAGAACACATCCTTTGTGTGAATCGTGGTGACAGCTTCATCTTTCACTATCACCTGCCCTCGAAGGTACCAGCTCTTGAATCGTATTTCTGTGTCCTATTAAGAAAAACCTAAGGCACATCATTGGTTGGGGATTTTGTCGAGTCCATACGACCCCCCTCTTTTCAGAGGATTAGTGTGACCCCCTCTAGGGAGTGGCTCGAAGCGACTCCCCTCTAAATACGACCCCTCCCTTTCCCAAACCAACTACTCACCGCTTTCCCTAGATTTTGCCAACTTCCTACCACTTTTTCCGGAATTTCCTGAAAATCTTCTCACTTTTACCCGAAAATTCTGCTGTCGACGGGTGGGGGGTGCGAGAGAGGGGGGTGGGTGTTAACAGGTGGGGAGGGG